ACTAGAAAAAAAAAAAAAAAAAAAGTCCACTTTTCTCCTAACTTTGTGAGGCTCTTCCCTCCTAAGTCGTGTGCATTTTCATGTGTTGCTGAACTTGGTGCTGAACTTAGCATGGTCTGTCCCTGCACCATTACCATTCTGTTTTAATCTCTCTGGCTTTGCAGTATCACCTGGGTAGGGTGAATCCCTCTTTTTGCTTTTCGTTTTTAGGCTGATTCAGAAAACTGTAGGTATTTGTACTTCCATATGAACCTTAGCATCATCTTATCAGTCTCAAAAAAAAAAAAATCCTCCTGGGATTTTGATTGCTCTATTTTTTAATTTATAGATAAGTTGTAAGAGAACTGACATCTTTACAATATTAAGTCTGCATCCATGAACAGAATGTTTCCCTCTATTAATTCACATGGCTGTATTCACATAGGATCACAAACTGCGTTCTATGAAAGTCCTGGACATTTCTGTTAGCTGACTTTGCCGGTTTTACGGTTATTAGAAATTTCATTTTCTGGGCTACTTGGTTGAAATCTGTTACTAGCTCTAATCACTCACTGATTCTCAGAGGTTATTTACATACATTTATAATCTCCAAATAGTAACAACTGTTGTTCTTTGCTCCCTGCCCTCATCTTTATTATTTGTTTCTCTTGGGTGACTAGCAGGGTGGTAGCGAGCATCTCTATCTTCTCCCTGACCTCAAAGGGACGTTTCTGACACACTGCAGGCCAGTAGTTTTATTGCTACCTTTACCCAGTGGCCAGATAAGTTTCTACTGAATGAGTGAGTACAAAAAACGTTTTACATAAATGTTAAAGGCGGGATTTAAAATTAAACACCTATTGCATTTTGAAGTTATTTATCACATCTTCTTACAAGCTTATAGCTTTTTAAAGAATTCTCGTGATTGGCCACAAGCCTTCCAACAGAAAACACGAGAATTCTCGTGACCCGTCCGCAAGGTGTTGAGCACGATTTTTGCTGAACATTTTTAGAGGACAGCCTCTGTCAGGAGGAGGAAGTTCTATTCAAATCCTACGCTCCCGAGAGCTTCATTATTTAAGGGTTTGAGCTCCATCCAATATTTTCTCATATCTAGTGAGATACATTATTTTTTCCCTTTTGTTCATTAATGTGGTCAACTTAACTGACGTTTCTTTCTAAAGCAGAACCATCTCAAGTTCCTGGGTTAACCTCCCTTTTCGTAATATGTTTTGTCGGCTGATAGTTTATTGAGGTTTTATACGCTCAGGATTTGAAATAATACCTACAACTTCTGTTCTTGTTCAGTTCATATCTGGTTTTGATAAAAAGATTTTACAATAAATCGGAAAATGAGTGAGATAGCTTTTTCCTTATCTTTCTCTTTTCTGGAACAACTTATAACTATAGAAACTATCTGATCCATGAAGTTTAGGATACCTTACCTAGAAAACCATCCTAGCCTGAGGGGGTGGTAAGTTACCATTTTTCTCTTTAGTGCTTAGCAATGTATTCAAGGTCTCCTTATCTCTTATCGTGGTAATTGTGGCATTCACATTTTTTTCTAGAAGTGTGTTTCATCTAGGTTTTCAAATGTATTGATATGTAGTTGTTTATAATATTTTATTATTTTACTAGTAAATCTGTATCGTTATGTCTGTATTTATTCCTTTTTCATTCCATATTGTTTTCATCTTTTCTTTTTCATAATCAAACTTTGACAAATATTTTGCCTATTGTATTAATCTTTTCAGAAAACTAACTTTTGTTAATTTTCTGTCCCCTTTTCCTTTATTTTAAATTTTCTATTTTCATCCTTATCTTTTTTTTTTTAAATATATTTTATTGATTTACAGAGAGGAAGGGAAAGGGATAGAGAGTTAGAAACATCGATGAGAGAGAAACATCGATCAGCTGCCTCCCTCACACCCCCCACTAGGGATGTGCCTGCAACCCAGGTACATGCCCTTGACCGGAATCGAACCCGGGACCTTCCAGTCCGCAGGCCGACGTTCTAGCCACTGAGCCAAACCGGTCAGGGCATCATCCTTATCTTTTTTATTTCCTTCCTTCTTACTTATTTGATCTAAATCTTACTTTGTGGAGTGTATGACTATCTGACCACTGTGCTGTACACTGGAAACTAATACAAATTAATATTGAATGTAAACTGTAATTTAAAAAATAAAACTGTTGCTTTTCTATGTTCTTAGAGTAGAACTCTATGAATCTTAGAGTTGAATAATTTGTTATAAATTCCCCTAAAATTTTTGACAAAGTGGTTTCATTGTTTTTCTTTTATAATTTCCACTATTACTTCCTCTTAAATAACGACTTTTTAAAATAGTAATGTTTTTAGAAATCTACACATGCGATTTCTACAGCAATCCATTCATTATTGTTTTCTAATTTCATGTCTTTGTGGTCTGGACAGTCCATAGGGTGACAATTCATTGGAATATATTGATAATGCCCTTGTGGCTTGGTGCGTGATTAATTCCTATGACTGTTCCATGTGTGATCAAGTTATTAATCATGTCCTTTTAATATTCTTTATTCTTGTTTCCTCTTTGTCTACTTTTTTTATTTTCAGAGCAGAATGTATGAAAACTTTTAAACCCAACTATTGATTTATCTCCTCCATGCAGTCTGTCAGTTGTTGGTTTATATTTCAAGTTTATTTTATACAATATATATGGCCATGATTATATCTTCTTAGTTATGGCTACTCTTATGAGACTACTAGAGGCTTGGTGCACGAAATTCATGCACGGGGTGGGGGGATGGTCTCTCAGCCCTGCCTGTACCCTTTCGCAATCTGGGACCCCTCAGGGGATGTCCCTCTCACAACCAGGGACTGCTGGCTCCTAACCGCTCGCCTGCCTGCCTGCCTGATTGCCCCTAACCACTCTGCCTGCCTGCCTGATTGCCCCTAACCACTCTGCCTACCTGCCTGATTGCCCCTAATTGCCTCTGTCTTGGCCCCCGCGGCTTCATCCGGAAGGACATTTGGAATGATGTCCGGAAGGTTGTTCGGCTGTCTGGTCTGGCTTCATCCGGAAGGACATTCGGAATGATGTCCGGAAGGTTGTTCGGCTGTTTGGTCTAATTAGCATATTGCACTTTTATTATTATAGATAACACCTTTCTTTGTCTTTATGATATATTTGAGTTATATTCTATTTTATCTAATATGAAATTGCTTTCTTTGTTTCAAAGTTGCCCAGTTATATCTTTCTCCAATCCTCTTTTCAACCTTTTTGAGTTCCTGTTATCTCATGTTATTTAATACTCACCTTAATCCCTTATTAGATTATAAAAATTAATTAAATAAGTAAATGGAGCCAGAGCTGCCATTCCAGAGGAATGGCCTTGCACACCTTATACCTCAAACCTTTGGAATGTTAAAACGGGTAAAAATCACCGTTGGACTTGGCCTAAAGCAACA